AATATTAACAATTGCTACTAATATACACTGAACTCTTTCTATGTGTAACTGGTTTTTACAAGCTTTATTCATTTAATATTCATAATAATCCTATGGGGCAGGGTATTGCCAATTACTCCTCTTTCCAAGTAATGAAACTGGGGTAAAAAGAAGTTAAACAACTTGTTGAAGTTCACACATATAGAAAGTAGCAAAGTCAGGATCAAATTCTAGACTATCTGACTTTAAAGCCTACACTCTTAACTACAGTCTCTGTATAAAAGGGCAGGGTCTATCTTTTGCTTACTTGTTTATCCCTGTAGCAACTACCATGGGGTTCATTAGAGGTTAACTATCTAGAATACAATCATTACCCCTTTGCCAATGGGATACACTGAAATCACAGCTTCAGAGATGATAAATGGTATTGAGTCATCCATGTTATGCTAACATACTATTATTACTAACTCCCAAGCATCCAGGTTAGGTAAAGTTGTTCCTGACATCAGAAAAATGTTATCTTAAAAAAAAAGTCATGGCAGAAAATCCAGTTAAATGAGAAAGTTAAAGTACACATGGAACACTAGATGGAAGTCCTAAGGTGAGGACCACTGATAATAGATATATGTGGTCCAAGGACTTACCTAGCCTACCCAAATATCAAATATTGTACTCCTAAATGGCAAAGTTTAATTTACATGAGTTTTACCCAGTAAGGTTAGCTGCAAAGGAAAAAAAAAAATAAAGCTATTCCAACAAGAACATTCATTGATTCCAAAAACAGCCAGCAGAGGGTACAGTATTAAAATTTAAAAAAGAACTAATACATACCTATAGTCTTTCAAATTAAGAAAGTAGCATTAATGGATAATATAGTGAGGATAACACAGGCAATGTGCATCTCAGAAAAATCAAATTAAACAAAAAATCAAAACTCAGATCTATTTAAAAATAAATATGCATTTGTTTATATATTCCATATACTATTATTTCCTGTGTGTCCTTAATGTTCTATTTTATCTCTCAAAGTTTGTATAGTACTTTGATATATAATTACCTCATTAAACTCAATACTATGATCATTTATGTTTCTATTAGGTTTCATAAATGGAAGGTGAAAAGTACCAAAAAGGCTATAATCAGTCTTTAATCTTCATTCACTCATTTAATTCAAAGTTACTGAGAATAATGGGTACTAAGAACCTGCCTAAATTTGGGGGATACAATAGTAAGATCCTGCCTTTTCCTACAGATAACTTATCAAATAATCATATAAAAGTACCTGACTGGTAGGTAACATAAGGTTCTGACCTAGTCTGTGAGATCAGGAAATGAATGAACTTAGAAATTTGACCTGACGCATCTTACACATTAAATATGTAATGTGAAGCTCTTACACATTAAAGTGTAAAGGAAATATCAAGCATTCCACATAGAAAAATAGGGAAAGATCCAGGTGTGGTGGTGCATACCTATAATCCCAGCATCTAGGGGTGGGGGATGAGATAAGAGAATCACAAGTTCAACAGCAGTATCAGCAGTATAGCAGGACCCTCAGCAACTTGTCTCAAAATAAAAAAAGAGGGGCTGGGAATGTAGCTCAATGGTAAAGTACTCCTGTTCAATCACCCCATCCCCACCCCTACCAAATTAAAAAAAAAAAAAAAAACAAACAAAGAGCAGCAAACTAAATTTATAAGGAGACAAATGTAAATCTTAGTAAATCCCTTACTTAATATTCTGATTATAGATTATACCAAGATTTCTTAAAAACAAACATGTGCTGGATATACCTAACTACAAGATTAGGGTTTTTCCTTAACTACTGATCCTTCACATTATATTTAAGTTCTCACAAAATATCTCTTATTATGGGTATTTCTCTCAAATATTTGATTTTGTATGAGGAAGTAGTGTTTGAGAAAGATATATTAGCCTGAACCAACCTGAATCAATGTATTTAGGTATTTATAGAGACTATTTTTGACTTGATAGATTTTTTTAAAGAATCAAAAATTAATATAAATTGGTAATTTTCAAGTATTGTTTCATTTTTAAATTTTTTTTTAGTTGTTGACTGACTTTTATTTCATTTATTTATATTTGGTGCTGAGAATCAAACCCAGTGCCTCACATATATATGGCAGGCAACTGTGCTACTGCTGAGCAGCCCTAGCCTCTCAAGTATTGTTTCTTAGCAAAACTTAGATTACTTAAGCAATTCATATCTTGAGAATATGGTAGATATCAAGAATTTTATAAGTGCAAGCCAAATTTAAAACCTCTCTCATTACCTATAGAAATAAATAGTTATGGCATGAAGTAAACATTCTAGTAAAAGAGTCACATGTAGTATCCAAAATCTTTGTATCATAAAAAGCAAGACAGAGAAGAAAATTATGTTCACTGTAAACTGTGATTATAGCAATCAATGATATGATAAACAACACAAACTAGAAGTTGCAGTATTTCATTTATATGCATAAAAGTTAACACATAAGTTTTTCATTTTTTTTTTTTTGTGTTCTCACTGGGGCATGTGTAAAAATGGCTTACATTTGGGCATATAAAATATTTTAAGGTCATTATTTCTAAATGTTAAGGAAAAATAAGTTCTATGAATTTTAAATGACAACTAAAGCATGTCAGATCTGGAAGGAGACATGAAAATAACCTCAGTTTCTAAGTTATAATAAAACAAACTGGCCCAGAGAAAAGTATTGCCCACAGTCATTCACAACAGCAGTAGAATTCCAAGTCTTCTGTCATGCCAGGGCTAAGAGTTCTTTACACATGTCTCAGGAATTATTAAACAACAAAAGTTATATTTCAGATTTTTCTATAACGATACAAAACGTTAGATTAGAAACATTGTACTTACTATCTAAAGTTCACATTTGATTGCCAGTATATCTGGCAGGTTCCTCTTGAAAATGTCTTAGAACAAATTAAGACCTAGAGCCCCCAGTTCATCATAGATCACAGTATGCTTGGCTAAATCTTCAACTTTACCTTATACAAATAAATGTTTCTCAGTGTCATCTAAGGATTAGTACATTGTATTCAACTGGGATGTTCCATAAAACTGGAAATTCCCTGGTTCTACCATAAGCATATCACCAAATTTCATTCCCTGAGGATGAAACACAAGAAATCCTTCCTTTTTTTAGAAGCATGCCTGACAATTCTTAAAGACACATTATACTTTGAAAACTACCAATCTGGCAGTTTTTTGGGTCTCTAGACCTTTAGATCTAAGCTACCTGTTTCAATTGTCATCTCTGCAGAACATAAAAAGAGTTCTTTTGTTCACTGTACATCATAGAAACTAAGTCAAAGGTAAGGTAAATGTATCCCTTAGTTCAACAAGTGTTATTACTGTACCGTTGCCCTGGCAAAATGAGCCATGCAGATACTTCATGTCACTGAGAATAACATGTGGGACTGGTATGGGGCTAAGCAAATAAGCACCAAACAAGCAATTCATTATCTGATTTTCTGTCATGGGAATACGCTCTTGCTTCAAAATGAACTCAGGAGGAGAAATGTCTATGGAAGTCATACAGAAAACCATTCATTCATGAACTTCTACAGAGCTCTTCAGGAGCCAAAATATGAATACCCTGGGCTTTGGTGGATTTTTTTTAACTTTAGATTATCATTTTCAATTTATGTAATACCTTTCTCTTAAAATGCTAAAGGTGATTTAGAAGCCTTTTAAATCATGTGTCAATTTTATCTTACATTACAAATTGCAAATTCACTAAGCATTGGACTTGGAGTTTTGTTTTTTCTTTGCTATACGTTAAAGTAATAGTTATTGTACTATATCTAGTCTATGAAACATTCGTAGCCATTTAATGCCACCTAGACTACACAAAATTATTGAAAAATGAAAGAAATAGCTTAAAATTGTAAGATTCCAGATCACAATATGACATTTATGACTCTAACAATATTATTTCTATAAATAAATACAATAAATGCCACCAAAACTATAGAGTACTAAAAACAGTCATCCAAAAAGTATAGGTTACTAGATGCTTAAGAACATATCACAAATAAGAAAAGTACACATCGGGGCTGGGGATGTGGCTCAAGCGGTAGCGCACTCGCCTGGCATGCGTGTGGCCCAGGTTCGATCCTCAGCACCACATACAAAGATGTTGTGTCCACTAAAAAATAAATATTAAAAAATTCTCTCTCTCTCTCTCTCTCTCAAAAAAAAAACACAGCCTTTAAAAAAAAAAAAAAGAAAGAAAAGTACACATCAATCTCAACAGCTTCAAAAACTTGACCCAGTTGACCTATTTTAGGTTCAATGTGAAACACAGAAAATATAGAGTTACATTTTATTTAATATAATTTAGACAACTGCATATCTTAGTAACTAATAATAAATCCTAGGAAACAATTCAAATATACATAGGTGAATAGGTAGTGCTCAGCTTAAAAAAAAAAAAAAAAAGCAGATAAATTCTTATTTCAATCCTAAGCCAGCCTGTAGGGCTGCTATTGTTGTAAAAGAATTTATCCTCAGATAACAGGGCAGCATAGTTTATGACAACAATCTACCTAAAACCTCATTAAAGTCTTTTCTCTTGGAGTGACATGCATTATCAGCAGAGATTAATCTGATGAGTCTTTAGGTGAGCTCCATTTTTAAAAATGCAATAACAGAGGGCTTTGTTGTCATCTGATGAAAATCAATTAGAGGAGGTAAGGCCACAAGGAAAACTAACATCACTCATCACCCACCCCCGGCAGCTGAAATGATTTGTCTTCCAAGCTTGGATGATCAGGGGCTATAGTCATATTGCAGGGAAATTAATTTAGTTTCTATATTCTGAACTCACTTTCCTTGTTCTGGAGGACCTAAACACAAATTACTTTTAATCAAGGTTGATATGTTATTAATATCAAGGAGAATCTTTCAAGAATCTTTTTTTTTAAATTGACTTCAGCATTTTTCACCTGTGTTTGGGGTACAAATATATGAAGGTTACTTATATCATCCTTACTTTCTGGATTCTTTGTCCACTACAAGGCACTGTACAGAATGGCGAAGACAATAGATTCCACCAAACACAGCACACATCCTAGAAAGAAAATAGAAAAATAAGAACTAGGATAATTGAGTTGAAAATTAAGGTAAGAATATTTTAAATATCTTACATTTAATAACTGATATTACAGAAAAATATATGATCATTTATAATTTTCTGCATCATGGTATTAAGAGTCTATCAGAAGTAAGATTAGCAATATCTGGATGCAGCAGAGCTGTTACTGCTAATAATACAATGTTAACACATGCAATTGTGACCAAGCCAGAAGGGTTCCCAAGCAGGTGACGATTATCCCCTAAAATCAGCTCCTGCATACCTAAGATGCATAAACCACAAACATCTTCACAAGGTGATATGTAAGACACCCAATCAAAATCACCATAGAAAAAGTGTTAAGGAGGGACCAGGAAGGGAAAACTTTGGGAGACCCTTGGAAACTTTACTTACCACAAAAGTAAGCGAAATGACCAAGAGCCAAAATTTAACTGATAATTGAAAACTAGAACAGCAAGTGTATGAGTTAATGCAGCAGAAGCTCTAAGAAGCTTTCCTAACTCAGCAATCTAAGTTTTTGGGTTTTAATGTCCACATAGGAGATGCCTTAAGATCTAAACAAGCCAGGGAGCAGAAAAATAACTAATCTCTCATAACATCTGGATGTTTATGGGGCTGCATCTCAATTAAATGGTGATCTCAGAAAGAAATCCACTTACTAACAGAGGGAGAAAATGAATCATTGTTTTGTCTTAAGTCTGGGTAGAGGAAGATTGTAACTCTGTGTTTACAGCAAGTGGCCTACTCTCACATAAGCTAGGGAGGCAATCATTGTAACCAAATGAAATACCATGAGAAGTTAGTGATAACTTGGAAACCTGGAGGAAGCAATTGCTAAAGCTTTCTACCAAGATATGACTTCAACCAAGGCCATGTGCAACTGTCAAAAATAAGATATCCCTAATGATGAATTTATAGTCCAAAATCACATACTAAGAAATGTGTCAAACCCTAAGGGAGAATCAGCACACAAAGCAAAGAGCAGAACTAAACTTCTCAAAATTTTATTCAGATATAACTATCAGATTATTAGTGTGACTCAAACATATGAATCAAAAATATGAGAAAAGATTAATGAAATGTCCACAAGGAAGGCTGCAGTAGGCTGAAAATGCCACCCCCCCCCCACATCTTCCCCAATATATCCACATCTCAGTCCCTTGGAATGTGAATAAGTAATCTTACATGGAAAGAAGGACTTTCTAGGTGTGATTATATTAAAGATCTTAGGATGGGAATATTATCATGGTGGGTACAATATACTTACAAGGTTCCTCAGAAGAAAGTATAAGAAAGTCAAAGAAGATGTGAAGATGGGAGCAGAGATCAGAGTGTCTCCACTGCTAGAAGGGGGACTGAAGCCAAGAAATGCAGAGGAGGCCTCTTTAAACTGATAAAAAGGCAAGGAACAGAGTCTTCCCTAGTGCCCCAAGAAGGAATGCAGTCCTGCTAACCAGTTTTTAGACTTCTGACCTGCAGGATGTAAGATAATAAATTTGTGTTGTTTTAAGTTATTAAGTTTTTTTATGGTAGCAATAGGAAATTAATAGATATGAACTATGCATATTCAGAAATGATTATATGACAGAAGTAGCACTGTAAACAACTAAAGAATGGACTATTAAAAATGGCTTGGAGACAATAGTTTGTCTATATAAGGAAAATAATTACATCTTTGCTTTATGCCATATTCAAAATCAATTCCAGGTAGTTGAAAGACATACATGTAAAAAGTAATAATTTTACAAGAAAATATAGAAGGACATGTTTTTTAACTGAGGAAAAGATTAGTTCAATATGATGCAAAAATCATAAAGGAAAAAGACTGGAAATGGAACACTTTATTTTTTTTTTTGAG